CCAGATGGACATGAATTTTGGGTGAATGTTATTCAAATCACCACAATTACTAAATTAATTTCAGAATGATAAGCTTAGTAAATATATAACTTCAGGAAAATTGCAGTTGTCTTTGTGCCTCAATTCTTCAATATGTAGTATAAGGATAATAAAAATACTTGATTAATACTGCTTCAGTAAGTATTAAATGAGTTTATATATGGTGAATATATATTTCTGGCACCTAGTATTCCCTATATAAGAATTATTATTATATTGTTAGTATTTTCGTTACTCACATAATCTGTCATCAGCAAAACTCCACATATTCTCAAACTCTTCCTTGAATCTTCTATGCACCTTCTTGCTCACCTGAAATGTGGCTGTCCTCTAGGAACACAGTCTCCCTGCAGCCGTCTCAGGTGGTGGCTGGTCTGCAACATTCCATGCTCCTCTTAGCTGAAAGTGTAATAATTAACGACCTCCTAGCCCCTCACCGATATTTCCAGATTATTGTTTCTTCTTCTCCCTTCATTTAGCCAGCAACCTTGATGATCATACCAACAGAGTAGCTCCCACAGCTGTGGACATCTGCTGTCCTGCCAGGTATCCGTCACCACCCCCAACACTACACAAGTTATAACTCCCAGTGGTTGTAATAGCTTCATAGCCAATACAACCGAGGCCTTACCTCTCTGTCCTCGGGCCTTTTAATGTCAGTGATCATGTTCTCTCACTAGACCAGGTGGCCCCTCCCAGACTTTAATTTTAAGCATCCCCTGTCTCCAGCCACCACCTCTTCTATTTATTCTCTTTTTCTATTTTTTTAAACCATTTACAATTAATTGTTTATTATCAGGGGTTGGAAAGAATAAGTTTCTAAAATGAGTTTCCAAGAATAGACTTCTATATATGCATGTGCTTATATGCAGGGCCAGCTTCACGGCTGTTCAACCTGTGCAGCAGTTCAGGGTCTCACACCATCAAATTGGCACTGACTGATCAACTCTATGGTGCTCACACGGTAGTAATATTCTCCAGGGATTAGGGGGTTGGGGGTGGGTAAACTCACAACTAATGGATGCGGTGAGCATTGTAGGGGGAAAAAGGCACACCTCAAATCATGGTTTGGGTGTGGCAAAGTCATAACATGTAACCAAAATGTTTGTACCCCCATAATATCTTGAAATAAATAAATAAATAAATAAATACCAATTGACCATTTATGTGTGGACCTATTTCTGGATTCTCAATTCAGTTTCATGGATCCATATGTCTATCCTTATGCTAACAACATTTATTATTTTAGCTTTATAGTAAGTCTTGAAATTGAGTAGTGATTGCTCTTTTTTTTT